CTCGCTCCGTGCAGGCGATTCAGCAGGGCAGCGCTTTCCATACCCAAAGCTCTCGGCCACTCCACCTGCGAAGCCTTCATCCCTGGCTGGCCTTGATTCATCCAAGAGCAAGGATGAAAACTGAAGGGTTTTGTCAAGTGGTCTGGCCTCAAAGACTCCCAAAACAGCGGAGATCTTCAGCACATTTCCCCATGCAGCAGTGACACCGGAGGTGACGCCTGCTTCCCAAACCCCCAGGCACCACGAGGGCCATGTGCTCCAGCATCTTGAAAGGACAGGCACCCCTGGGGAGCCAGTTCCACCCAGGTCCTGCTGCCGGCTGCCCAACCCTGGTGTTTCGAGTATTCCTCCGGCACAGAAGCCGTATTTGCACATGGCAGTCAGGTCTGGGATTTAAAAGCCAAAACGCTGGTCGTGAGAGGCTGGCAGGAAGGTGGGTGAAGCCACAAAGCTTCCTGCAGTACAGGGATGTGCTTATCAGGCCATCTATCAACACATTAGCTGCCTTAGGGAGCCGGGTACGCGGAAACAGTGCTGGCTGCTGTTGACTTTGGCCAGTGATGGTACCTGAGGCTCGGCCTGTCGGCAGCACCAGGGCCTGTTCCCAGAGCAAGGCGCTGGGAGGAAGGGGCTGGAGCCGTGGGGCCAGCAGGCACCTCGTACAGGGCCACACGTGGGCACCTTCAGCTCAGTGGCTTCCCCCAGACTGTGTTTTTCCACCAAAATTTACCTCAGCTCACCCATTGCTTTCACCTTTCCCTACGGTCTCCTCTGTGCCACCAAGTGCCACAGTGCAGACATAGGGGCACGGCTTTTCCCCTGCTGCCTTGGGAAAACAGCCAGAAAAGCCGTTTTTAGGGGGACTTCCAGCACTGCACCCACAATTTCCCAGCTGGAAATACCCAAAAGGCCCAAAGTGTGGGCCTGAGGCCTGGCTCACGACTCCCCAGCACTCGTCCAGCTACCTTTTGGTGGGGCTGGACAATCTGAGAAACTCCAGCACGTCCTACATGAGCTTGGCCCAGAACTGGAGGTAGGCAGAGAAGGGGAAGCCCCTGCAGAAGAAGCAGGTACCCACCTCACCAAGAAAGCACGAGGAAGACCATGCCATTTGGCGTTGACATCTTGGCCCAAGCTGAAATCCTCCCCTTGCCTGCTGAAATGCCTGTCCTGGTGTGAGTGGCATGGAGATTTGGTTCCCAGGCGATTTTTGAGGGTTCCCAGTCACTCCGGTGACCTGGAGGGGGACACCAAGAGTGTGTCAATGACAGTGATGCTCAGGGGATGAAGCCCACCAGATGAAGCCCAGTGGATGAGGCCAACCAGATAACGTGTGCTCGGTCTGCCGTGCCTGGAGGGTGTGGGAAATGGAGGGAAGGGGTGAGCTGTGGGTTCCCATAGCAGGACAAACATCCAGGAGGCCCCAACCCATCTGCATCATATTGAAGCTGAGATTTCTCCTGTTTTGAGTGCTCTGGATGAAGGGGCAGGACGTTTTTGCATGCATTTGCAGACACTTCTAGGGGGTCTATCAGGGTCTGGTGCTCACACTCTCTCTCTGGCCCGGGGCTTGGGTTGCTGCAGTCAATTCTTTCCTCTTGGTCTCCTGCCCAGCAGCATTAGGGTCCATGAGCTGCAAGTCCAGAGGTGGCTTCTGCTCCCTCCAGGCATCTTGGCTCGCTCAGTCCTTCCTGATCTCCTAGTGCCATCTGCTGCCTCACCCCAACACCGCCGTAGGGTGGTGGTAACACCCGTTGTCTCCTCATCCTCACTTGCAAAAAAAGATGGACCAGTTTGCCCACTGCCAAGCTTCATTGGTTCCCTGATATTTTCTCCCCTCTTTTTCAGGAAAAAGGACCCCCAAAAGCCCGTGGGGTGGAGGTCTGTGTGGTTGCTACACCACGGTTCCTAATGAAGAGCTGAATGTGCCATTGCCATGTCACCACATAAGGCTGCTGTGTTTTTCTGCCTTTTGATTTTAACGAGGAATACCAGAAGCTGCTCCCTGGGACAGGCACCCAGGGGGCTTTCCATCCTCAGGGGATCCCCCCCGATCTCAGACAGTGCTGGTGCCCGTCCCACCGCAGACAGGTTGGGCTACACATGTCACAGAGCCTCCCAGCAAGCCCACTGAGATCCAGTGGATTTTTTGGGTGGAGATGCTATAGCTGACCAAAATTAAAATTAATTAAATTAATTAATCAATCAATTTAAAAAAAAAAAGTGAACTCTTCCTCTGTTCAAGTAATACAAAGTGTCTTTGTCTAAGTGCCTACACTTTGCCCCTCCCAAGGGGAAGAGGAAGGTGCAAGACAAAATCCAGGTGTGTGTTCCCCTTGCCCCTTTGCCATCCCAAGCTGCAACAACCTCCTGCTAAGCTCTTGCTTCGGAAAAGTGTCCAGCTATCGTGTGCTCAGGTCTTGGATGCCACCTCCTGGCTTTCCCACTGTACTGTGCAGTTCATTAATGCGCCTTGACTCCAGGCTGCTCGTCTCAATGCACATGGCAAGGGCCTGTCCCGTCACGACAATTTGTCCCTACGGGTTTTATATGACCCCTATGCAGCCTCTTATATTTCACCTGTATCCTTCTGTGCTCCCTGTTTGGGATATTGGGATGCTGCATCCAAGTCTCTGCAGACTTCTTGTGGGGTTGGGGACTAATTTAACAAGTGGGTGGTTGGGGGAATAGCAAATCAGAGGGATTTCTGGAGCTGTAAGACAGTCTGCTGTCTTATCTATACCAGCCTGGCAGGTGATCAAAACTCGTGAAAGGGGGTACTGTGCAATAAAGAAATGCAAGACAAGGTGCAAACAGCATGTTCCCCGCTTGTTCTCCAGCATATCCCGTCTCTTTCTGACCTCACAGTGATGTTTCTGGCTTGGGTTAGCCTACCTGTATGCCCACCAGCCAAACCCACCTCTCCCAGAGGTGTGGTATCAAGTGCCTCCATCACCAAGCAGCTTGGCCAGTCAATTTTTGTTCAGTCCCACGTGCAGTGGCTGGGCTGGGGCTCTGCAGAGCTGGTCCGTGTGCTGGTCCATGGCTGCAGCTGTTGGTGTCTGTGCGGCATATGAGGAACTGGAGGACATCACTGGTCCTGAGGTAAAATGGTCTTCAGCCATGAAGGACTTTGGCCTGAGAGAGGAGGGATGCCATGTGGAAAGACCATGACGGAGGCTTTTCTGCCTGCGCTGCCGCTGCAGACCAGCAGATGGAAGCTGCTGGGCTTTGCAGGAGCCATTTTAATTACTTGCAGGAGCTGTTTGCATTGCTTTCATCAGCAGAAATAGGGTGAAGGTGCCAGAGCACGCGACCTGTGCGGCCTAGAGGCATCTGGGCACTCTCAAAGACCAGTGACAGCAACAGCACCAAGAGAGCAGCAGCTCTGCCAAACACCCCTGGCCTCGGGGGCAGGAGCTGTGGTCCCCTGCCATCAGCTGGTCTGTGGACAAACGCAGGCGTTAAGTGTTTGCTCTCCTTTCCTATGAACCCCGTTTCAAGCAGGAATTGAGTATTGCACCTGGATGTCCCACTGGCCTCCATGAAGATGCCCTGGCTTGCTACAAGCGTGGCTGGGATGCCCAAGCTCTGCGCCCTGGAGCTCCATGCCAGCAGCCCTTCCTGCAGGACACAGCGCAGCCAGGTTGGGGTCAGGGTAAATGCAAGCAGCACCACGGCTTCACACCCCTTAAATGCATCAGGGCAGGGGCATCGCTGGTGCACACACGGTCCTGTGCCCCTCGCACACCCATGTGGACACAAACACGTGCCCACTCCTCGCCCACCCATGGTGGCACTGGCTCAGGGACCCTCGGCGCAGACGTGACCTACTTTAGCTCCGAGGCGAGCCGCGCTGCACCAGTCCCGGTGTAAAAGCTTAATAGAGCCAGGCATAAATTATTCATTGCCTGGCCATGTTAATGCATGTGCTAAAGGCTTTCTTTTTTTTTTTTTTTTTCTCCCCAAAAAAAATCTCCTTTATAATTTAAAGCCTCGCACGCTCCCATCGCCGCGGATGCTCTCCAGAAGTGTTTCCGCTCAGGCGAGCAGCTCTGTGAGATGCGGGTGGAGCTGGCAGGGCAGAGCTGCCCCACCGCTGAGCCGGCCCCGATTCAGGCAGCAGCAGGGAGGGCAACCGCTGGCCCCGCTGCCTACACCCCATGACCCTGCTCTGAGCCGCTTCCCCATGCGGCCAAGCCCGTTCCCAGGCACGGTGGCCAGTGGAGCTATTTTTAGAGCCGCCTCTTTCTCTTTTTTTTTTTTTTTTAGTTTATTTTCCTCCCGCTCCTTGCCTTGGCCAAGCAGCCTTGAAGCCCTGGGGAAGAGAGGAAAACACCGAGCCTTGGGGCAGGGCGCTGCGCAGGGTCCCGCTGCCTCCACATCCCACCCTGTGCGCTGTACCACACAGGGAGGCCACGGGTGGCACCCCATCCCGCTGTGCTGGTGGGGAGAAGGCTTTGTAGGGAGGCAGGGATCGGGGAAGCTCCTTTACGAGCACAGGGCCGCCCTCCCAGCACAGTTAGAAGCCCCCAGTGATGATTTTGTGCCGTCAGGGCCCCTGGAAAAGCAACTACCCCTTGGCCAGGGCCGCTGCGCCCAGGGCTGCTCTGGCAGGTACTGATAAGGGCAGAAGCGCTGGGGGAGCCTCTTGCCCTCCTGCAGCCCCAGCTCGCCCCGAGCCCAGCAGCGGAGGAGGAGCTGGGCGCTGCTGCAGCTCCGCGGCCGTTTTGCCTTCTATGGACATCTCTGCAGCGAGGAACTGCGCTGGCACGGAGGAGAGGCCACCCTAGGCCCCAGGGAGGGGGAAGAAAAACACCCAAAGCCATCGTGGTTGCCTGTGCTTAGAGGCCTCTTGGAGAAGCTCAGCACCAACAGCCCCTTAACCAGGCTGCCCTGTGCCCAGGGGGCAGAAGGAAACCCCCCAAACACCCCTGGCAGCCCCACGCGCTGCCCCAGGCCATGCCCAGCCCCAGAAGAAAACACTCCAGACCACCAGAAAGAGTCACAGCAGCCTCTGGGTATATTTTTGTTTGTCTGTTGCATTTCATATATTATCCAGTTTCACATTCTCATAGGATCAGCAAGTATAGAGCAACTTACTCTCAAATCTTTTAATACAAGCGAGACAGCCATGGTCATATAATACTTAAAGCACTTCAATACCAAGCAATAAGATGCTAAAACAAAAATTGCACAATTTCTTGTTTACTATGCCTGACTGAATCATTGTTACAGAAGACAACCCTTCTCTGTTCAAGCTTTTAACTAAACATTAACTTATCTTACAGGATTACAATTTCTCTTTTAATAATAATAATAATTAATTGCACACAAACACACAAGAAATTCTTTATGATGCATAAATATTTCCTTATTACACATGGTACAAAAATACTCGTACTTTTTTTTTTTGTTCGGTATTCCCATAAGGATGGCTGATTATTTGGCAGGACTGGATGCTCTCCAATCAGAGGGATGTGGAAAAGAAGAAAAAAAGAGGTTAGATATTTTACAGCCTTTCTATATATAGCAGTCTGAAAGAAATAATATAAGAACCCTGACTTTAAAACGGGAGAATGGATGAGAACAGAAACCCAGTGCATCGTACTTGGAGGAAAAAAAAAAAATAAAAAAACATTTTTCAAATTCTTCTGGTCGTACTGGGAAGGGGGAGGGCGGAGGTGGGCGAAGGGGTGAGACAAGGACAGTTAGTATTTCTCAGAGCCAAGTCTTCACCGACGCAAGATGAAAACCTTGATGGATCAATCCGTTGGGCCAAGACCTGTTGCTAACAGTTACACAAACGCTAGAACAAACAAACTTACACTCACACATACACAAGTTAAGTGTTTTAATTCATGCCAGAAAACATGCAAAAACCCGATTTGCCTTTCGTTTCCTTCAGCCGAGCCGCGGGCGAGGCGAGCCCGGCACCGAGCCCCCCGCCACCCCGGCCAGGTTGCGGCACGGCCGGGCGGTGAAGCTCAGCCAGGGAAGAGGTCCTGGGGGTGGACGGACAGACAGCGGGACAGAGGGATGGAGGCGGCGTGCGGCAGCTTCACAGTCCGGAGGGGGGATGCGCCGGGGCCGGGCGCCTTGTCCGCTGGCCGCAAACCAAAGCGAGAGGAGTCGGAGCAGTCGTCCCTGGCACATCCCTCCGCGGAGAGGCGGGGAGGAGGAACACGAGCCGAGGAGAGACACTGTGGGATAGGGATGGCAGTGAGTGGGGCTGGACTGCAGCCGTGCCCCAGCCCCGTCACCCCATGCCCCCACAGGGAGCGGGGCTTGACCCCGCTGCTCATTATCAAGACCCAAGCACGTCCTTTGTGGGTGCGTGGGGCTGGCGGCGGCCCAAGCTCCCATCCCTCCTCCCACCGGAGCTCAAGGACAGGCAGGACAAGGACAAGGCTCCAGGAGCGATTACTTACTTACTAACAAACTAACAAAACTGACGAGACTTCCATCCTTGCTGGGTAGCTTCGGAGGGAGGATACCAGCGCATCTGGAAGAAAAGAAAGCCACGCCAGAGGTCCGTGATCCAGAGTAATTGCAAACCTTCAGCTCCGTTAGGCCACCGGAGAGGCACGCTGAGCGGAGAAGGCTCCAGCAGGGGAAAGGATGGACGTGCCCCAAGGAGCACCCCAAGGGCTGGCGGCTTGTGCACAGACAGGCTGAGGCTCACCAGGCACCAGGACCTTACCACGTCCTCCCTTAAGGAGCACAGCAGGATCCCACCTGCTCTGAAGGGAGCTCGCTCCCCCTCTCAAGGCCTGCCTCAACATCCCCAGTGTTTTCCAAAGCCAGAAAATAGTGTCCAAACTCACACCCAGCTCGCTACAGCACGCTGGGCAGCACCACCCAGGCTAGGAAGGGTCCTCACCACCAAGCCATGTAGGAAGCTCATTGCTTCAGAGCTGCGCGTGAGGGGGCACACCCCAGATTTACACCCCAAATTTACAGCTCTCCCCCCCAGAACAGCCTCAGGCAGGGCAGAGGAGGCTCATAGCAGGCACACACCACCTCAGTGTGGTAGCTGCTCTGCCTTCTGCCACCACAAGGCCACACACTTTAACCAGGCAACCTCCCCTTGGCACGGGTAAGACCTGCCTCATCTACACTGGAAGAGACCAGGGGCAGTGATCCAGCCATCCAGAGAGGCTCCAGGCAGAGCACACCACAGGAACAACCTGTAGAGCAATAAGGCAGCAAGACGCAGAGGCTTCCTCAGTCTTTGCAGCAGCATCTGCTGCTCAGGGCTGCTCCTTGGCAAGGAAGGACCCAACAAGATGACACAGGTACAGAAACCAAACAGGCACTTTCAGCCTGTCAGTAGAGGCAGGGAGCTGGCAGCATCCAGTAGAATAGCATCAAGACATCCAGATGCTCACGCTCAGTTTGCAAGACCAGGACGTGGGGCTGGGCCACTGCAGGCTGGGATGGCAGCCGGCGATGCAGGAGATGCTCCTGCAGCCAGCACACTGCCTAGCAGATGCACTGCGGTGCATGCAGCAGAAATCTTGCTGCAGAGTCACCCAGCAGTGAAGATGCAGACCTGTGTCCCTGACCCCAGCTGCACGAGACCTGCCAAGGGCTGTGCACAGGTCTCCAGAGCTCTGAAGACAGCCAGAGACTCAGTGACAGCCCTGGGATTACTCCCCAAGATAGGAACATCCCTGATAGCCCCTCCAAACCCCACTCCCTGGGAGAAGCAGCGGTCTGTCTGTTGATGGAAAGGCTTTGCACGCACCGCTGTAACACAAACACACAGCAAGTGCCAAGACCTTGATATGGCAGCCTCCTTACAGAGGCTGGAAGGGACAACAAGGTCACACCTCCCAGAAAACACAGCTGCCTGTGAAGGCTGCATCCTCCCTCCACCAGCACAAGAGCTGTGACACCACTAACAGCCCCAAGCAAGAGCTGGAGAACTTGGGGTCCTTCCTGTGATGCTTCCCAGAAGGAGAGAGCCCTGCAGGTTTCCTCAGCGAGGCGAGGGCTGCTGGAAGCCAGGCTCTGGTACCTGCACCAGCACAGGGCAGGATCAGCCCCTTCCCCCCCCCATCACCAGGAGGTGCTCACTCAGCAGAGCCGCAGCCCAGGTCCTCCTCCGCTGGCTGACATCTCCCACTCCAGCACCCTCCCCTCGACAGCTGGAAGCAGTTTCCTCCTGCCCAGCAGCAACAGGAAACTCCCCCGAACTTCACAAGGCTGCGAGCGCTTAACCCCGGGAGCAGCCACCATCCTGCGCCTGCCCAGTTGGGTGCAAACACATGCAAGGCAGCCACCCCCATCCCCAAACCCAGTGGCTCTCCCACCCCTCCACAGGGGGTCCGAGCCAGCTCCTGCTCCATATACAGCCCAAAGCCTCCAGCAGCTCCAGCTCAACAGAAATCCTGCTTGTTCACAGCTCTGGCACAAATACACCTCCATCTCTGCGCCAGGCAGGGACATCCCAGGCCAGGAACCAGCGGGAAGCACCAGAACAACCAGATCTCCTAGCCAAGGGGGGACACTGTTGGAAACAACAGCCCATCAGGACAATTTTTTCTTCACATCTCTCTTGGGTGCCTTGCTTGTCCTGGGATGCAGAGGTGCTGTGAATGGGGGCACTGCAGCCACCTGGAGGAGGGGACCAGGTACACCAGGACATGGCAGGGATGTCTCGAGGGCTGTGATGCACCAAGCCAGGTCAGAGCACTTCCCTGGAGGAGCCCACACCTGAGGGCTTCAGGGAGGTCTGCAGTCTCTCCAGGTGGGCTATCCGTCATGTAGGAAGCTGAGGCAGGGAATGGGGATGGATATCCAGGAGGGGGCTAGGGAAGTAGAGCAAGGGAGGCTTTTACTGGAAGACACGCAGTTGTTTCTGGAGCTGCATTAGCTCACAGTTGGAAGGGAGTCTGGCCACACCACTGCAAACATCCCCTGCTCGCCTGCCCGCAGGGACAGGACAGACACCGCCAGCCAGCTGCAGCCGGCCTCAGGTCCCAGAAAACAGCTGGAGAAGAGCAATGTGTGCCTCCACTTGCCATCTTCACAAAGCCAGGGGAAACAACAGGATCAGCACACGGGGCAGAGACATGCCCCAGCGGGGCTCCATTCTCCTTGTGAAGGTCTGCTTCAGCTCTCCTGGCTGTGCTCAGAATTTAATACCCACTTCTCTTGATTGCCTTCCTTACGGAGAGCAGGAAGAGCAGGCCAAATACACACCGCCATCCTCAAGCCATCTTCAGCTTAGACAGCCCATCCTTCCTCCTTAGTTACTTGTAGGTCTGCTCATCTTCACCCTGCAGCCAGCCCCAGTGCCTCAGGGAGCTCAGAGCTGTACCTACCTCCAGAACAGAGCCAGCAGCTCCCCAGGTACCAGAAAGACCTCCCTGTGTGGCAAGGAGGAAGCAGCCCCTTCTCTGGGCTCCCAGGAGCTGGTAGGACCCCAGCAGCTCACGACAGGCAAGGACAGCCTGCAGAGGTACACCACCAGCACTGACACCAACCAGCAGGGCTCTCCGGACACCTCCAGCCTCATTTCAGCTGAACCTCCTGCTTCCAGGGTCCTTCAAGAGAGCTGGCTTGAGGAGATGAGCACACGAGCACTTGCATGCTCTGCAAGACCCGAGCAGCTCAGCCTACCATGAAAAGCCTCACTGCAGCTGAACCGAGCGCTCCCCATGCGGCTGCTGTCAGGGAGGATCTGCACATCCCGTGCCGTGCTGAGAAGCACATGGAGGAGGACAGGCAGCGATCCAGCCCTGTTCCTCAGAAGGGGAATTTCAACACACATCCAATGCTCTGAAGCACTCTGGGTTGAAAGCCTATGCTCCAGAGAGTGGAGACCTCAAGCAAGCAGTTCTCCTTTTCCCAGAGCAGGAATGAGGTGGGCTGCTTCCATTTGTTGAGCCAGGGAGAGCTGTGCCCGTTGCAGTTCAGGGAGTCCCTTCTGACAGCATCTTGGTCTGGTTCACTCCTCAGGTGTGACAGAGATGGGCTGCTCAGCAGGTACCCTAAAGAACTAAGAGCATCTCACGTTTGCTTTTCTCTGTCTAGGAGGAAACAAGTGGCTTGGGGAGAGCTCACTCAGGGCTCCTTGGCCAGCACTGAGTCACCGGATTTTAGGCAAACACCACAGCCATGAGGTTCCTGAAGTACTCTTCACACTTCTAAGGATCCAAGCCCTGAAAAAATAATCCTGGTAAGTCCTATGTGTCAGCCCCAAACAGGCAATGGGTTATTACACAGAGGAAATCCACCGCAGCTTCCAGCCTCCCGTCGCAGGGAGGGTCCATCACAGCTCAGCTGCCACAATGTGAAGTCCAGCAGATTTTGCAGACAGGACTCCGAGATCAAGCCATGTGGTACACAAAGGGAAATCCCCATGGTCTGCAGATTGCCGTGGTGCCCACAGCTCCCAGACTCTGCCAGGCTGGTGGCACCCCGGTGGTCCCACATCACAGCAGACAGCAGCATCCAACAGGAGGCAGGTACTGGAGGAGAAGTGCAGCACCTGAACCCATCCCAGCAGATCTGCTCCATGCTCCCAGCTCTTTAGGACCAGCACCCGATAACAACCACTGGGACCAGCCTCATGTCCATCCACAACAGCAGCCACAGCTCAGGAGATCCAGCTTGCCCTGGGCAAGCTCAGGCAGCGATCAAGAGGGAAAGGCTGGAGAATTTCTCAGAGCACTGGCCTCCTCTTCCATCGATGGGCTCTGCCTCAGCTCCATGCTGGGAAGCCTCAGGGTCCTGCTGGGCTCTGCATCACCACCACACAGCCACAAAGCAGAGCTGGGGCTGCTCCTTCCCCTCCCCTGGGCAGTCCCAGCTTCAGAAGCCCACCTTCACCACACCATGAAAACCTCCAGCCCATGTTTCTGCTGCTGGCAGCAGCTTTGAGGCTATGATAGCACCTCAGGCAGCCCACCCCCAACAGGATGGGCAGCTGTGAGCTTTCAGTCCACGATCTGCTCCCTGTCTTGGGAGCATCAGCCACAGCCTGCCTGCTGGGTACCCAGCACCTCTGCTGGGTCTCCTGCATGCACCATGCAGCAACTGCCTCCACCCTTACCCACACATTTATGGGATGCTCCTCTACGCTGATCTCAGGGCAAGTGCTGCCACCACAGCTGGAAGCATCACTTTGCAGAAGAGCACTGAGAGTCCCTGGTGTCTCCTGGTGCTCGCTCAGAGGCTGGCTTAGGGACACTCCAAAACCCAGTTCCACATCAGAGACACAACACAGCCTGACTCAGTCACACAGACACTAGATGAAACAGTGCAACAGGTCTAGAGAGACCAGGTTTCCACCCTGGTGGAAAGATCTCCCTCTTCCCAGGGCACCGTCTCAGCACATCTGTGCATCCCACAGTCTTCCAAGGACAAAGGCATTCCTCAGCCCCCATCCTTGAGGACATCTTTCCCCATCATCACTACCACAAAGGGGAGAGAAAAAAAAAGTCTACCCAGAACCACTGCAAAGAGAAGCGATCCCAGACTCAGTTCCTTCAGTAGATGACCACAGCAACCGTCCTCCCTGCCTGCCAGTCCCAGGCCAGGCCACCTTCCCTCTGCCCAGCCTCCCAGCTCCCTACACCGCTCCCAGGCCACAGATTCCCCTCGTTGCAGCTCACGAGAGCTGCATCCTGCCTGTGACTGCAGGCTGCAAAGAGAAGCCAAGCTCCAGGTAGGAACTTGCTCCATTTCCAGTGACTGGAGAGGAAAGAGGTGAGATTAGACCCATGAGTAGGGGCAGGGTCTGTCCCGATATGCGATTCTGGAACAAAGTGACCGGCAAGTGCTGTTGTCTAACGTGCCCGGTAGAATTTAGTCGTGTGCTACCGCTATCACGTCACTCACCTCCCCCACCGTGTGCCAGGAGTGAGGTCAAGGTGTATTTCTGGTTGCCCTCAAAGGGTCGTGGTTGGGGAGAAACCAGGTTTCCTTCCTGCCAAGGGGCAGGATCATCTCTGCCCTGGCTCAACCAGGCTGCTCCCCTCCCGCCGGCAGGACCTGGCTGAGCCTGGCTCAGCTGGGAGGAGTTGATGTAAGATGGTGCCATGCTGTGTGCGCCATGTCATGTGCTGCCAAGTTGGAGATGTGGGTTAGAAAGAAGGCCTGGTATCTCATTCCCCAGGCTCTGGTGGGTGGGTAGCGTGAGGCCCATGCACTGGGTGGGCAAGGAGATACGGGCTAAAGAGATGGGCAGAAGCTTGCAAATCCCATGGTGCACCTTGGAGGAGAGATGGTTACCTTACCAGTCTTTCCAGACGGGGCTGCCATCATGCTTAACACTTCTAGGAATGGAGCTGTAGTACAGCCACTCCACTAGCTGCAATTAGGCATCACTAGGGCGTCCCATCTCCAGGGACAGCTCTGAGCTTCAGGGCTAGCCTGCGCTGGCATCATGGCTGGAGTTCACTAGGGACATCAAAGGAGGGATTTGAGAGAGGGTGGGAGGGAGGGAAGGCAGGTGGGACAGTCTTAAAGTCAGGCGAGTCCCCGCAGGTAGAGGCTTTCAGCAGTGCCACAGTCACACCGGCAGCACGGAGGGACCCCATCCCCACGACACGGCGATGCCGGGAGCAGAGGGGTCAGTCTTCTGTGCACGGCTTCCCAAGGGTGCCTGATGCACGAGCCAGGGCCAGCAGCCTTGTGCCACCTCCTGCCAGCCCTCCAGGAGGCTGCATTGGTGCAGCACAGTCGGCAGCCACTCTCCTCTCAGACTTGAGCACAGAGATGCGAGAGGACGAGCTCTTGGAGTTTAAATCTTTTGCCACAAGCTCCCTTTAGCTGCTGCCTCCACCTACACACTCCCTCTGTGATTAATGGAGCTGCTGCAGCTCCTGGCACCCCATGAATGCCCTCCTAGCCAACACCAGTCTCCGGAGGAAGAGCTGCTGCTGTCCTGGAGAACAGCCCATGTGTCCACCACACTGACAGCGAGGTGAGCCAGCCTCACCAGGGCTCAGCACACCAAGACCGAGGCTACAGCTTTCAGCCCGGTTTGAGAGCAAAAGTCATCTCTTCTCACGCTGACTCAACTCCACCCTGCCTCGGCTCTGCAAGGGAAAGGCCTCCAGCCTAGAGAACAGGCAGCTCGGAGCGGCCACCCTGAGTAATGTTTAACCCCATAAAACTTTATTGGTAACGTATGCTGCGCCAGAATGTCTCCTGCAGGGTCACCGCCAGCTCAAGCACAACGCAGCGAGCAGCAGCCGTGGCTGCTCGGCCAGCCTGGCTGCTCGTCTTCAGGAGATGGCTGGCCCTGGCTGCAGTTTGGAGGGGCTACGCTGGCTCCCTAGGGCTTACAGGAGCATCACCTGCTTGGGCAGGGGGTCCCTCGTCCTCCTGAGGGCTCCCTGGAGCTCAGGGGTCATCCTGCAGGCCAAAAGACTTTTGGATAGCTAATCTGTCTGCCCAGAAGAGGTATCTTACCAGCTGGGGGGCAGGAAATCAAACCCCAGCAGAAGATGTGGCTGAAGGCCTCCTTCGTTTTGGGAGAGCAGAGTTCCTTCCTCCGCCCAGCACACACCATAAAGTTTTGGTGTCTAACCTTTCTGTCCCTGCACAGTCACCGATGATCACCCTTGAAGGAACCACAGTAATGGTTTCACCTTCCTCAATTGTCTCCAGAGGGAGTGTTCCTGGCCCTCCCTGCTAGGGCAATTCTGGCAGCAACAGCCCTTGGCTCCACCACCCCATGCAAGGGGCAGGGATGGAAAGGAGAGACTTCTGCTCCCCTGGGCTGCCCAGGAGCAGAGCACATTCAGGTGCTCCTGGAGCTGTGGGCACCATCAGTAGCTCTTGGAGAACACCAGCAAACAAAACCTCCTGACTGGGACAGACCTAGCGAAGGACCAGCCTACCTGGAGGCCTTTGAAAGATGGGGCCAGTGTCTGGTCCTGCCCTAGGCCCCACATCCCTCTTGCCTACCCTGCAGGAGCTTCAGCCCACTGCTAGCTCACCAGCAGAAGGCCAAAAGCAGAGGACAAGCCTACACAGGCCAGAAGCTCGCATCCCCTCCAGTGTTTCCATCTTGCATTTGGACACAAGCTTGGGTTGAAGCCATTCAGTTACAGTCAAGATGCTTGCAGGAGCAAGAGGATGATGAAGGGACCAACTCAACTGCTGGCCAGGTAGACAAGGTGATGGGACACAGCTCTTCTTCCTTTCAAGCTAAGCAGGGATGAGCAGAGCTAACTGCCCTGCTTGGTGGGGCAGAAATAGCAGAGGTTAAACCCCAATGCTCTGGGGACTAAGCCTGGAGCCCCACCAGCACTGTTACAGGAGCAGAGACAGAAGTAGGCAGAGCACAGCTGGTGATAACACCAAGCAGGGTTGGGACAGGGGCTCCAGGTTCTCCTACACAAGTTCTCCAAACAAAGCACCTTAACATGGGGTGATGACATATCTTCTCTACTTCAGCTTTCTTTTTGCATTTCCCCAGCTTCAGGAGATGTTATACTGGTGGTGGTGTCTCAGTACATTAAAACACTCCAGTATCAAACCAGTACAGGCACCCCTACACCTCCTGCTGTCAGCAAGCACACCCCAGGGACACCAGGCAGCTGGATGCACCACCACCAGCATCTCCACAGGCCCACACACCAGTGACCCTCTCTAGCCTGTGCCCAGAGGGGCTAACAGTTCACCACTGGCTCACGAACAGAGCTCCTTGCAGTGGCAGGGCTGCGGTCACTCATCCTCTGCAGGACATTCCCCTCCAGCTTCAGAATTGTTTCTGCATTACCTGGCCCATGGGGTTCCAGCTGAGCCCCTGAGCTTCAGCACTGAGCTAAGCTTTCACTTCACGGAGGACATCTCCTGGCTATCCTACGTGCTGGCACACAGGGTATCCTCCCAGCAGTCACACCAGGTTCTCTGGCCAAGGGTACCAAAGCCGGCCAAAAATTGAGCACTGACTTTCTCCAGCTGCCTGCCTCTGGCACGGGAGGAAGGCTGGACCTGCAGGGTCAGAAGCCAGCGCAGAGCTCTGGCTGCACTCAGGTCACCTATTTATCCAACAGGCTATGGCTGAGACATCTGCCCCGTGCTTTGTTCAGGGCTGGGGGCCCCTGCGCATGGCAGCTGGGAAGAGGCTTTGCCCAGGAGTCAAGGTGCAGAGGCCAGGGTCGAGCTGGCCAAGCAGAACCCCGAGAGAGCAAGAACCAGGAGAAGGGGGGAGAGGAGAGCGCGGTTCTTGGCAAGCAACTCACCTGAGCGTGAAGAGCAGCGGCCGCAGCAGCGGCCGCCGGGTACGTGAAGGCGGCATGGGGGATGGCTGGGGTTAGCTCCGTGGTGTACAGGGGGTAGGGAGCCCATGCTTCTGGGGACGCTGGAATAAGAGCTGCTCCAGTCAAGTCATCTGGACAGGGGGAGACAAGGTGACAGCCTCTCAGTGGCCGGAGCCAACAGCCTGCTTCAGGGATGGGCTCTGGATTTTTCACCCCAAACTAGAACTCTGCACTGCTGCCCCAGCAAGGTTTAAAATATAATGCAGGTAACCCCCTGCATTCTGCTCCTCTGGCCTCCCAGCCTTGCCGGGAGAGGCCAAGAGCATGTCCCATCCCTACTCCACACCCCACAGGGGCACTAGGCTTCATGCCTGGGCCACCACCAAGCCTCAGCAGGGCTGCCTGCCCCACCAGGACAGGCTGAGGGTGCATGGCACAGGACCAGCCCTTTATGCCTTGCACCTAGCTTAAAGCACTTGAGTAGTACCACTTCAGCTACGAGAACCAGCTCTGCTCTCCCGATGCTTCTGGTGTTGGCCAGCAGCCTCGGCAGATGCCTGTTGTTCTCCTACAACCCCAACATGCTGAGAGATTTCAGCCAGAGCAGGTGGCTACAGTTCCCTTGCTACACCAAGCTCTGACACCAGCATTCCCAGTGCCAGGCATCTCCCAGGCTGGGCCAGACACTGCCTCCAGCTGTCCCCCCCAGCATACTCACAGGGGTCCCGTGCAATGAAGTGTGCGCCCAGGGCAGGGTGGATATTGGTGGGGTTTGGTGTAGCCATCAGCTTGCTCTTGGCCATCTTTGTGTTGGCTTTAGCAAACTCTAGCCGCAAGGTCTGAGGGTTCTCTGGGTCAAAGCGGATGCCCTGTCACAGAAGAAAGCACAGGAATCTCTCAGAGGAAAGGCTTCCTATCCAAGCACAGGATGCACTCATGGAGTAGAGCCTAACCAGGGGATCAGGGCCATCACCCTGCAGTCACACACCCAGTTTTTGTCACCTCATGTTTGTATTTTCATTTTTAGCTGGCCCAAGGCTACTGCTTCCAAGATGAGGGACTCAGCTTTGCTCTTTAAGTGCAGTTTGCCAGCCAGCAGAGCAGGGATGTAGTGCTCGTCAGGAAAGATGCTCCATCTGCTGCCATGGCAGAGTCAGGGTGGGAAGGCTGCTCTCCTCTGACACATCCTTCTGGAGCAGGTACCTTCTGGCTGCAGAGGTCCTGGCAGTCCAGAGCGCAGGACAAGGACCTGCTCTGCTGAACTGACACTTTCCATCAGGACATTTGGTAAGCAAGGCTTCAAATGAGGCTGTCAGCACCAAGCAAGCCTTGTGGCCATTTGACAGAGCTTTGCAGCGAGCCTGCTTCACTGCCCAGCTAGGCTGGTGTGTGCAACCTGGAGCCCCACAACACTGCTGGGACCACGGGCTGAGCACCGCATGCCACGACAGAGCACTGGGTGTTGCTGTACCTGTTCACTGAGGCTTAGTGTCCCACACAACCCTGCATCAGGTACCCTAAGCCAAGCACGACTGACATCAGCCCTAAACATGACTAGCCCTCCTGCCCGCCTGGTGCTGCAGGACCATTTATTTGGTATTTGTGGGCAAATACCAAATTTGAGACTCTCTGACCTTTCCCATGCTGCAGGGAAGCCACGCATCACCCCTGCCCACAGCTCCAGGTGGAGTGACCGCAGGGTGTACAGCCACCAGCCCTCCCAGTACTCACATTTAAGGCGTTCTTCGCTGCTTCTGCACCAGCCCGGCTGTCAAAGGTCACAAAACCAACTGGCTAGAAGAAACAACACTGATTTCAGTTTGGAAGCCTCTTCCCACTCCTCAGACCACCCTGCCACCCTCTCTCACCTAGACAGCTTATAGGAAGCAGAAGAAACCACATGAAACTGCGCAGGGCTTTCAGGCAGAGCTTGAAGGGGCTTGAGGCAGTGACTCTGTCTGCTCCCACCACACCAAAGTGCTTTGGCATTCCTACGCAAGTGGGCACAGCAGCCCCCTCAGCAGAGATCCCCCTTGCCCACAAACAGAACTGCTGCTGCCTTGGTTAGGATGGGAAGGTTTTCTGATGAGGCTGAAGCACCATTTCTCCTGCAGCACCCATCAATACGGGCAGCCATGGGCAATATGGAAATGCTCAGCACGTGCTGAGAGCTTGGGGCCACCAGGAGAGGAGGCAGTGAGCAGAACCCAGCTGGGTACGTGGTGCTGAACACAGACAATGCTTTAGACAGTGAAGTGGCATCTGCACCCCTTCCCTCCCAGCACATCCAGCAGAAGCCAAGAATACCCCAGCACTGGAAAAGGGAGGTACCTGCTTTGATGTTAGCTTGATCAGTGACCCTTCATAACCCTAGAGAAAGGAAGAAAGCGAGTCGGTGTCAGGTTCCTGAAGGAGCCAAGCTACAAATGAGAAGTGATGCAACAGCTCCAGGAGCTCCTGCAGCACCAAACCCTCCACAAGGCAAGGTCTGCAGCAGAGGCAAATACATTAACCCATCTCCCAGGAGCCATCCTTCTCTTTCCCACCAAAGTAGAAGAGAAATCAGTCACCAAGCAGAGCAGGTATCTCAACTAACCCATTCTTCTAGTCCTCTCAGGAAGAAACCCTCTTTTCCAGCTCCTTGTCAAGCTATTAAGATATGAAACCCTTGCCTGGGTAGCACACAGGGATCATAGAGCACCCTGTGCTAGAGGAGTGCAAACAAGGACTCCTGGGGAAGAGGCTCATTTTGATGCGAATTTCTCTGCTCATTCCCCAACTTCCCAGGTCCTGCACAGAAGGACTTCCAGGACATTAGGACCAGACCTTCCAGAACCTCAAGCTGGCCACTTCCAGCAGCTACAGAGCCACCACCCCCCCTGCACTGGGGAGCAGCAGTACATGGGAGGAGAAATGCTACCCCAGACTCCAAGGTGGCCAGAGGGGAGATATCTAGTGAAAGTTGTATAGGAACTGGGTCTGGACAAGTGGTAGAGGAAGGGCTGGTCCAGTCAGGCAGCAGTGCTGACCACACAGCCAGCGTCAGGCTTGGAGACAGCAGGGATTCCAACAACAGGCTCTAAGGGAGGCTGCCAAGCTGAGCACAACCTACAGGACACCAGTCCCATTTCCTAACGGGCTCCCAAAGCTTCCACAGAAGGCCTCGCTTCCCACTTCATTCTTGCTTCCTTCTGGCAAGGTCATTTCTGCAAGGCTGGCCGTAAGATAGCATCTTTCCCCCCAAAGCCCAAACCTGAAGACTTACCTTGAATGGTCGGAAGAGTAGGTAGAGCTCTCTGGGTTTGATGTCCACAGGAAGACCACTGACAAACAGAGTCCGTACCTAGGAGAGAGGTCAATGAGATCTACTGAGAGGAGACGTGCAGGACTGGAGTGGGAATAGATGACAGTTCAGGAGCTCTGTGTGGTGGAGGCAGGGCATCTCACACCAAAGGTGGCCTCACAGGCACTCACACTTCCCTATATCAGAGGATTACTGTCACAGATGAGATGCACCCAGTCCTTTTCCTCTTTCCCCAGAGGATTTAGGCCTTCACAAAAATCCAGACTCTAGAACAGTTTGGATTGAATAGGGTGTGGACAGCAGCCCCAGTCTTTGACTGGACCTTGATGACTAAGACAAGACTGTACACCATCCAAAGCACTAGAGCAGGGTGAAACATCTCACCACTCCAGGAGAAACTGGTACAACCCTGACATGTCTCTCTAGTTCTTCCCACAGACATGAAGTGCTAGATCTTGATCTCCTTTCCCTAGCCCAACCTAGCACCTCACTTCAGCCACGAATTCAGAGACAGCCCTCAATTTTGTGAGCCAGCTCACTACTATATGCACATCTTTTACTTCTGCGAGAGCCCCAGAACATCACTGGGAAGGTGGTTTTGGGTCCACCCCCGCTCCTTCACCAACACACCCCAGACCTTTCAGAAGTCCCTCTCAAAGCATCTCATAGTGTCCATCCTACTACAGCCAGCCACGAGCCAGCTGTGCTGCACCAAGTCCAAGGAGTCCGCTGCTCCTTCCAAGCCCTAGAGGTAATACAGCAAATCCAAACGTATTTGTACAAGCACAGATCCAGTACCAGAGGAAGATCTCAACAGACAGCGACAGAATTCACATGAATAGCCAGGAAGATGCAGCAGTACTACAGGCTGATGGAGAATGTTGCTGAACACTCAGACCATCGCAAGCACCTTCTCCCTGCACTGGGAGATGTTGGCTGCCAGCCTATTTCCATAGGAAGCAGCACAACGAAGCTGCCAAGATTTCTTGTAAATCAGCACTGAGCTGGAAAGGGAAGTTATGCACTACAGAGGTCACCAAGACACCAGTCATCGTTAATAAGGAGCAGGAGACCGCAAGCTCAACTCAGCCAGCACCAACAGAGAAGCAAGGGAAGACAAAACTATGGGAACAAGATGGAGCTCTTCATTCCTTGCTCTGAACTACCTGGCTATGCCACCCACTGAAGCAATCCCAAACACATCTCTGGAAGCTCATGGGACAGCAGCAGGGCATCAGTGCTCAGAGAGACACCAAACTGCACCAGAGACATTTGGGGTGGATGCAGCAGGAGCAGAGCCCTTGTGCTGGCCCTCTTCCAGCCGGGAGTTCACACTCCCGTTACGTTCCCATGGCAGAAGCATTCTGCTCCCACACTTCAGTTTTTTGTTTCCACTTCCCCAGAGGAAGGGGGTTGTACCTGACACCTCGTTAAACCTCTTTTCCCACCAAAGTGAGCAGCACTCTTGCCCTGCTCCTGGGCTAGAAGCTGTGGCCACCAAAAAAATTAAAAAGAGGGATTGCAGCAGAGCCTCCACACCCTGCGGGTCTTTGGGAGTAGCCAGATCCAGACTCCTCCAAGCAAGGAAGCTTCTGCCGTTTTGCCACAGGGAATACACATCTCCTTGTGCTCCTGTGCCCAGGTCAGCAACACCCATCACATCAGCCCAAGTGGCAGCGTAAGCCCTCCAGGATGGACAGTGAACACCAAGTCTTGGGGTGCTCTGCCCCTCTTTCTCTCCACAACCCGAGACCAAAGCCTGCCACCACCCCCGTTAATGCACAGAGCCCTCCTCCAGTCCAGCACATCTGGGATGCAGCCACTGAGCATCTCTCCTACCCCAAGTGCCAGCATTCCCAGGCTCAGTCCTGGGGTCTTTCCATCCCACCCAGCACCTCAGATGAGGTCTCAGTGCATTCCTCGGGGCCATTTCATACCCAAACAGAGCAGGCAGTGGCAGCCAGCAAGCCACTACAGCACCTTGAAGACTCCAGGCTTCAGCCTGAGCTATGTGGAGTGGCTGCTGCACGTTCCCAGAAGACGCGCAGCCATCTCTTGCAGGGGAGGACTGCGCGGAGCACGGTGGCACACATGTGCCTCAGCCATGTGAAAGCACCATCCCTTTTCAATATTTCAGAATTTGAGTGCGTTCAGCCCCCAGAATGGATGTTTCTTCCGAGCAGATAGAAATCTGCATCCCTGTTGGGTCTCTAAATGGTCCCGTGATGTGCAGGCTGGGTAAGTCCTTGCGACAGGCGTGACAGAATGGAAGATGTGCAGTTGCTTGGGGAGGGAGAAAGTCGGCTACTCAGAGCCCTTACAACAGCCTGAACAGAGCAGCGCAGGTGCCTAGAAAAGCTCTTTGTCAGAGGCAACAAGCTCCTAATGCTGTCTCCATCAGCTGCTGCCAAGGACAGGAACAGGAGACCTCCTTTCACAAGCTTCAAAGCTTCCCTTGGCCTCCAGACGCAGTCTGTCACTGCACATGGCTTTGGAAGGGGGACCCCAGCTGACCCACAGCACCCCCCAAAAACCAGCATTGCCCCAGAGCAAGCCTGGCCAGTCCTGCATGCCACAGGATCTGCAAGTGAGGTTTCCCCAATGGTCTTGAGACAGATTAAGGAAGGGGCCTGCTCAGAGGAGCAGGTTAGGAAAGGAGATGAGACCAAGTGGGTGGGTTTCCGAGATCCCTGCAATTCAGCACATCGGTGAGCGATCTGGCGGAGGGCAGGGGGAGTGAGACCAAGATATTCAGGGAGGAGAGCCTGAGGCTGGCAAGAGACCCATTTAAGGCTTATAAACAGAGCAAGGCAAGCCAGAGACTATTTCTCAGACCAGGTGTGAGCAGGAGATGAGCAGCAACCTGAAAGCAAAGGAGATGTACGGTATTCCAACAGGAACAGAGCAGGAGGCATCTCACCAGTCTAAGCATTGGGCATGGACTGTGGGCAGCCCTGGTCCAAGAAGGAGGAATTATATAGAAGAGCATCAATAAAGGCTTTGGACAAGCACCTTCCAGTGTATTAACGGCACTGGGACTCTCCAGATGCCCCTTTGCAGCCCAAGTCCTGCCGGCTTTGAGGCCACCAGGACTAACACATCCACCCTTCCAGCCCTCATGGTGCCACAACGGGGTGCTTTAATCAGCCCACCCTGCCTCACCAAACACCGGATCCACTTTGACATTCAGCCTCCCCACAGAGTAGCCGGAAAAGCCACAGGGCAAACATAATTATTTTTATTTTATATATATTATATATAATGTGTGTGTATAGGGCTAGATAGGGCTAGATCATTAAGTACCTAAGCCAAGGTGGATGTTCAGCAGGAGTTTGGAGAAGATACCACAGAAAGCTCTCCAGAAACACCTTGTTCTGATGCTCTGAGACTCAAGTGGCTGGTAGCAGAGCAGAGGCAGCAGCTCAGAGCAGCCCTTTCTTGCCCGAGCTGCTCCTCACCATGCACACAACCAGAGAAGCAGAGCAGCTCTTGCCTACGACAGCCCAGCAGGGTCACGCTGCTGGAGGCCCTGCAGAAAACGCGCTCCCTTCCCTGTCCCTGCCCCCTCTGGGGATGTCCCCAGTCCAAACACCCGGCAGAGATGGAGGAGAGCCATGGAAAACAGGATTCGTGCCAGGAGGGACAAGACCATCTAGGCCATCTCTTGAAGAGGGAGGATCCCAGCGCTGCTTCCCACGCAGGAGCAAGGGAGGGACAAGGACAAAGCCAGTTAGCGATCAGATCCTCAGAGGCTCTAAAGCCGTCCTTGCACAGCTGCATCCCCCAGAAGAGAAACGCACCCAGTGCGAGCACAGCCAGGTGCTTAGCACCAAAGTTTCAGCCAGCACAAGTCCTGTACATCCGCATCTCCTGCCTATGTCTGCTTTAAATAAGCGCTCGAAGGGGAGTCCTAAGAGCAGCCAGACGCTGCCCTGCAGCCCAGCAAGGGTCAAGTTATGTCAAAAATGCAAAAACACAAGCACCCGTCTCCTGCAAGGCTGCTCTGGTAGTTCTCTGGGCTTTCATTAAGAGATTGCTCCAAATCCTCCCACAAGCAAGCGAGGCAGAAGGGGAGGTTCTGCAGGATGAGGCTTTTAGCTGCGTTTCCCACATCCCTGCATTAACAAAACTGTGACCACTCCAGCTCCCATCAGAGCCCTGGGGCCGTGCCGACATAGGAAGGGAGCCCGGCACCCTACAAGCTCAGACAGCATCCCAAAAGCAGTCCCCACTCCAGGCACACAAGCCCACCACCCATCCCCTGTCCCTGTAATGCCTTTCTGGCTGAGCCAAGCTGCCCCATAGCCACCTCCTGCACCGCAGCTATTCCTGTGGGAGTACAACCCCAGCTGGGCACCCGGCACCCCAAGGACTGGGGCTGCAGCCCCCAGGATGCTGCTGAGCCCCAGCGGCCGCGATGCGGCTGGGGCCACTTGACACGAGGCTGCTGGAATGCAGCAAGGCTGCAGGCAGCCCCAGGAGCAGGGACTTATAAGGCATGGATGGGAAAGGCGGGGAGCCAAGCGTGCAGAGCTCGGCTGCAGAGAGGGGAAGGCTCGGGAGCGCTGCTGCCGGGGCTGAAAACTGATGGGGACTCTCCAGATGGGCTGCAGGGCTCCTGCCGCTGCTCCAGGTGGAGCCAGCCCTGGGCAGTTTTGCTCTTCTGCACAAACACCCCCCCAGATAAAGAAAACAGAGGAAAGAGGCAGCTGATCTGCAGCTCGCAGGCTGGATACCACTGAGCCCCAGGGCAGGATCAGAGCTGGAGTTGGGCACCAGCACTTCTCCCCCTGAGGCTGGGGCATTCTGCACAGCTCTGCTCCCAGCTGGATCAACCCTTCTCCAACAAACCCACAGCAGGCAGGGGGACACCACCAGGGCTCAGCCACCCCTGCGGTCAGGGCAGGAAGCAGCTCGAGCAAGGGGAAAAGCATGGAGAGGCACCAGCCCCTGCCTGGAGGAGCAGGAAGCACATGGGTGCCGATAAGGCCAGGCACAACGGGGCAGCACCCAAGAATAGGACATGGCTGGGGCAAAGG